ATTTTTGTAGTTGTGATCTAATTTTTCCCACACGTGCTCTATCTAATGTGTTTGATTACAGGCACCACTGCCCAATGTTAGTTGCTCAGTGGCAGAATGCTGTAACTCGCAAGGATATGGTCAAGTTTTTCTCATTTAGGGATTTTAATGAGGTAAAACATGTTGAAGTTCTTTTAGATCTCACACCAATGGCATTACTTGGCTCTTTCAGATGATGATACCATAGTTTTTTTTTTTTTTTTATTCAAAATGTTATTTGATTAGTGCAGCACCTTTTCATTTCACGATGGTAGCAGAACATCTTGAAAGTATGGAAATCACTGTTATGACAACGGATTTCTCATATTTTCAAAATTGCAGAAAATTGTTTTACCTACTTCAATGAAATAACCATCTCCTCAAAACATTATTTCCCAGGCTTAAAATGTTTACTTGTAAAGTTTTAAAATAATTGTATTTTTATTGATCGAAATTCGAAATAGCTTATTTAGTAAGAGTTACTCTTAAAGTAATTTTGTTTTTTCTTACAAATAAGAGAAAAGTTACTTATCCAAACTTGTTTGGAAACAAAAAATTTAATGAACAAATATCTCAAGCTCTCTTTCCTTGCAGAATGGTGGAATTCTTACTATCCCAGCCGATAGGTTTCTACATGAAGTAGCATTTAAACTCTGGAAAGCTCCGAAATATGGAGCATAAAGTAGAATTATTTGTGAAGAAACGTAGAAGATTCTGAAATTGTTTGGGAAGCAGAAGCCCTGATAATAAGAGCAAAGTCTATAGAATAAGCTGAAGATAAATGATCGGAAGAGAGGTCTGTGAATGCTGGTTTCTGATGATTCTGATAATTTATTTTCTTTCTCCCAAATATTGTGATAATGAATTTTTATTTCACTAATTTTCATCTAATCTTGAAGGAATCATCTTGATATTACCTTTTGACGATGTCGATCCTTTAGTCCATATGTGAGTTTATGAAGTTAAACTCTACTAGTTTCTTGAGTAGGTTCGGTCTATTTTGCTGTTAAGGTTTTCTTCTGATATAGACTTTATCTGTTGCTTCGAGGCGAAGTTATGAAATTCTTTGGACATTGATTCATCCATGTGGGAGATGGGAGCAGACTTACAGTCCAAGTAGCACTTAATCGAACCTAGTTAGCTTCTGCGGT